GCAGATCCCAGATCCACTGGATCCCGACAGGAACAGATCCTGAGCTCTTCAGATCCTGGATCCAGCAGATCCAGTCCCAGCTGATCCCATCACAGAAGATCCCAGCCCCAGCAGATCCCAGTTCCGGTGGATCCCCTCCCAGCTGATCCCAGCTCCAGCAGATCCCAGAGCCTCAGTTCTTCATTCTGGTAGATCCCAGATCCAGCTGATCCCGGATCCCAGCAGATCCCAACCCCCTGGAGCCTGTGCCAGCAGATCCCCAGACCCAGCAGATCCCAATCCCAGCAGATCCCGGATCCCAGCAGATCCCAGAGCCCCAGGTCTTGGTTCTGGCAGATCCCAGCAGATCCCAATCCCACCCCTCCCAAGCCCAGCAGATCCCAGCCCCAGCTCGCTCCATTGCCCCCGGATCCACTCGATCCCTGCCCTGCAGCCCCAGCGGATCCCAGCCCCAGGAGGTTCCGGCCCCAGCAGATCCCGGCTCCGGCAGCTCCTGGATCCAGTGGATCCCAGCCTGACCTTTCCCAGCATCACCAGGTCCCCGCAGATCCCAGAGATCCCAGTTTGGGATCCCCCCCCAGCCCCCCCAGACCTGGGACCAGCAGATCCCTGCCCCAGTGGATCCCAGATCCAGCCGATCCCGGGTCCAGCAGATCCCAGATCCCGTGGATCTTGTGCCAGGATCCCTCAGATCCCGTGGATCCCACACCAGCAAATCCTGGGTCCAGTGGATCCCCTGGCAGCAGATCCCGGATCCAGGAAACCCCAGACCTGGCAGACCCTGGATCCAGCCGATCCCATCCCAGTGGATCCCAGATCCAGCAGATCCCAGACCCAGCAGATCCTGGGTCCAGCCGATCCCGGATCCAGCAGATCCCAGAGCTGGTGGATCCCATCCCAGCAGATATCGGATCCAGCAGGTCCCAGCTCCAGTGGACCCCATCCCAACTGATCCTGGATCCATTGGATCCCCTCCCAGCAGATCCCTGTCCCAGTGGATCCCAGATCCAGCAGGTCCCATCCCAATGGATCGGAGATCCAGCCGATCCCCTCCCAGCAGATCCTGGAACCCCCAGACCCGGTAAATCCCAGCAGATCCCAGTACCGGTGGATCCCATCCCAACCGATCCTGGATCTAGCGGATCCGCTCCCAGCAGATCCCAGTCCTGCTGGATCCCATGCCAGAAGATCCCCACACCCAGCCGATCCCCTCCCAACAGATCCCAGT